CGGAAAGCCAAGTGTTGATTTACGCATCCACGGTTCGTTAACAAGCAAACCCTTCCTTCCTAAAAGCGCCACGTACCGATGAACTCCAAGCCTGTCATCCACAAAAACAGTTTACAACCGTATGTTTAAGACAAGATTTGTCCCTACTCACAGCTACCCCTCCCGTGATGGGAGCAGGTTGCACTCTTCCGTAGCAGCGAGTTGTCTGACAGGGTGTTACACCCAGGGCTAGAAAAGGTACATGGAGTCTGCGGGTGTGCGCGAGTCATCGGGTGGCAAGAACTTTATGAAGCCAAAGCTCTGGAGTTGTGCTACACTGTTGTTTGGAAAAGCTCAGGCCCGATGAGAATGTTGTGTGACGTGGTATGAACACACGTGTAGGCACTTCACAGAAAAATCTGTGGTGCTTTGTCGCTGCTGCGACTGTCTGGTGGGTCGACAAGCGTGTGTTAGCTATCCTGCTGCCAAAACCACTTTGGAAGTGAACGGTCACAGTCACACCCCTTCCTTCTGTCAGGAGGAAAAGCTCTGACCCTGCTGCTTAGGTGCTTCTTCCTACCCAGGTGGCAGTTCTGCTCTGATCCTTAATTAAGCCGTGAGTGACCCACTAGAATAGTGGGACATCATCCCCCTGTAAGGGAGCATCTCTCCAAAGCCCATCCCAGGTACGCTCACACTTTCCATGGTCTTTTAATAAGGTCAATACTTCTACACTTAAAAATACAAAACATGTGCATGTAACAAAACAGATCGAAGTGAAATATTCCAATAACAAAAACCCTGGTCTTACCAGAGCAGCAGATTTTTTGTGAGCTAAAAGGGAAACCTTTGCACCTAGGATGTGTGTCTACTCCTCAGACACAGTTCTGCACAGCAGAAATAGAATCATAGAATCATAGAATGGTTTGGGTTGGAAGGGACCTTAAAGATCATCTAGTTCCAACCCCCCTGCCATGGGCAGGGACACCTTCCACTAGACCAGGTTGCTCAAAGCCACATCCAAATCATTCTGGAGTTCTGGTGTAGCAAAAGCATTCATCCAGTTTTATGTTTTTCACTTACTGTGAAATGCATTTTCTTCTAAGCATTCTGTTTCCTTCCTGCTTCCTCTTTTTTTAAGTACTATTCCGATGTATTCTGCAGCAGTAACTTGAAGCCTACTTGCTGTTGCTAACTTTCAAAGCCCTCACTATGTACATGGGTACCACAACCTAGTTTAGGAGTCCAGCCTTGTTCCCACTGGAGTTAGTGGAGATTCACTGTTGGCTTGAAAAAGCAGGGTCAAGCCCCGCAGTCTAAAAAGAAACCACACAGCAGCCACGACTGCCCGTACGCAACAGTTGCCGAACATGAAGCGCAGCAGCTTCGCATAGTCAACAGACAAGAATAAATTTTATACCCTAATGACTCTTTCACTAATGACAGCCGGGGACCCAAGGATGAGCTACATTCAGAACTACCAAACGACACCCATCGTCTTCCAGCTGTCTCGGGGAAGCGAGGGTGACGGACTGCGGGAGCGGTAAACGCTTGTCTTACCAACTGCTGCTGGATAGCCTCATGGCGCTGCTTCAGAAGTTCTTCTGTCCTCTGGAGGATGCCGTACTCAGCTGTAATCTCTGCTATTTCCAGTCGCTTCTTTTTATAAAATGTGTTTTTGCTCCGCAGCTTATTAACGTAGTGTTTAAACTGGAACGAGAGAGCAGAAATACCATTTGACTTAAAACAAAAACGGGCCTTATCGCTGTCACTACATAAAATGTAATTATCCTGTTTGGACTGCACATGAAAGATTAAGTGTTTAGAGCAGAGGACTGGAATTCAGGATTCCCAGGGTCTATTTATGTCCAGCTCTGCATTTGTTCGCTGAGTGAGATCAGGAAAACCAGCTCCATTGCTTTCTGTTCCAGCACTCATTTGTAACAGTGAGATCATTCGGTTCTGCCCCCCACCATTCGGCAGCTGGAACAGCAATTCCTCTCTGCAAAATGTTGAAAGAATTATGTTCACTTTTTTAGTATTCATGACAGCAATTTGCACTTGTAAGAGAGCACCAGATCTGCAGTGTGCAGCCCCAGACTGCCCTGCAGACCAAGGAACGTGTAAGAAGGTACAGAAAGATTGGAAGGGAAGAGGGTGTGGGAAAAGACTAGTTTTTTAAAAATGCCAGTTCTCAGTAGTCAGAATTTGTTGTTCTCCTTCCGTGACTCCTGCAGACCTGAAACACTCCGCTGGCTAAGTTTTTAAGCACAGGAAGATAACAGCAGAGCCCTTGCACAGGAGCAGAGAAATGCAATATGCATTTCACTCAAAACCTAACGTAATGGAGAAATTGTATTTCTATTAAATACGTATCATTACAGATCAACAGCCTCAGCTAATTCGCATCGGAATCCGTCTGCTCAGTTTGTAACATACATGAAACACCCGGTGGTGAAACAAACGTGTGATGTTTTTCTTTGCCTTAATGTTTTCCATCTGTCAAACAGGCTCCGCTCTCAGTCGTATATTTTATGTGAGAGCTGAGGCAAACGCCAGTCACAGCTCAAAAACTCATTCAGACCCAGAGATGGAAAGCAAATAAAATTTATTAGAGAAAATGATACAAGAACAGGCTTCGAAAGGCTCCGTGAGGAGGAGGGCTCAGCATGAGCAGAGTGAGCATGCAATGGGCAGCCCCCAGGAGAAAACAGAGTCCCACTACCACTGATACGGGTTTGAAACTCAAACAAAACTTAGATGTTGAAATTCACATGATTTTTTTTCTTTTTTTTTTTTTTTTTTCAAAATTATGCCTCTCCCTTCTAAGGAATAAATCCAAAACCCCAGTGCGACCACAGCCTCAGAGCCCCCAGAGTAACTGTATGTTCTATAAAAAGCGTCCTGGGCAAAATGCCCAACATGAAATCAACCCTGTTCATCTGCCATCCTGTGCAATATCTAGGCCAAAGCTGCTTCGCTTTTGCTATGCTCCAGAACTATTTTTAAAGCCAAAAGCTATAAACGTTTTTGGTGAAAGAACAAACCCACAAATTACTCAATGTGCTCTATGCAGGTTGGACTACGCGTGGCTTTGCAATACCATCTTACATTCTGCGTGCTACCTCCGACAAGGATAGACAAGGTCACCTGGGCCATGGCACTGCCCGGCCCAGGCGGTGGCTGCTGCAGTCGTGCTTTGTCATATTATTGGCATGCTTCGTATAACATTACCAGAATCGATTATTTTTCATTGCTTCTTGGCTCATACAACAGACTCTGGGTTTTTTAATTGCTTGGCCGATAGCAAGTTTTCTGTGATTTTCAAGAGATTATAAAAGCGGAAATGCAAACTCCCCAGCTAGCTGAGGAAAACGTAAGGGAAGCAGAGTCACCGGTCTTGATCAGATAGCTCCAGAGAATTCATCTGACCAGTGGAACATAGCAAAGAATGATATAAAGGATTAAGCTTAATATGTGACCACATAGAGTCACCAACGCGGAACAATTTTCTGCCAGTCTATCCCAGGATGAAAAGCAAACTATTATTCTCTTTGCTTCTACAGCTTCTTTACAGGTCTTGAAAATAGCTCGAGTGGGAGGTAGAGTATTTGCATATTCAGTATTCAAAGCATAATCTGTTTTACAATGGAAGTCAAATCATCTTGTTGATTAAAGAACTGATTCCACCGATATTCTATTATTAGTTGATTAAGTTAGAACTATATAATAATAAAAATTTCACCTGAAATGAACTACAAGTTGCTGACACTGACAAGCAAAACCTGTTTGGTTTAGGAGATGGATTGCTATCTTTCATTGCAGCCTCTGGCTGTTTAACAGCAAACTTAACCTCTCAGCCAGCTCTTCCTGCAGGAAACAAGGTAACCCAAGATGCAAACGACAACAGCAAGATGTTAATCTCTGCAGAAAATCAATCAATAGTTTGGCAGGATTTTCAAAAGACTTCATCTACTCCAAACGCCGCGCAGATTAGCCCCTCAAAATCTCACTAACCAAAGGCCTCTATAGACCCAGGGCCAAATTCAGAGCTGGAGTTACTGGATTTGATTCCACTTCAGTCACCAGCTTGTAGGGATTGTATGGCAAAATTAGCTTTATTCCGCCTAAAAATTGAGAATCATTCCATAGGTTTCCAAAAATCGTACATAACTGCTTGTAAAATACCAGCGTTTTCATTTGTGTAAGCACTACTTCTGAAGCTTTACACATTCCATGCTCCCATCCATATGTAGATGAAAAATTAATCCCTTAAAATGCCACTGAACGTTGTACTTCAGTGCAGGAAAAGGTCTTTTAAATAATTTGCATAGTTCACAAAGGAATAACACTGTCTAGCCCTATGACTTTAACGTTAACCAGCCAAAGGAATCCAGTGTGGAGCAACAGCATTTTCCCACAGACCCGGTCAACGGCTCCTTGCGTAGAAACTCAGCAGGCTCGACCTACAGAATTCCCACGGAGCTGCCGGTGCCCACAGTGATGAACCATTCAAGGCCATGTCCACCAGCGAAGCTTTTCTTTCTCAAGCAACTTAACACAAATAGTTATTTAAGCTTCAAAGATTAAATGACTGGACAAGAACCAAATGCTGGCACGGAGTTAGCAGTCAAAGTAAACAAGCCTGCAGCCCCGTGGTTGCGAGCTGAGCCAGAGCCCCCGGAGATAGAAAAACCACCCAAAGGACAGCAAAGAAAGATTATGCTTTTTCACTTGGCTGTTTTTATGCGTGACTGTAACATAACGAGCACGGAATCTAGATTACGAACTAGAGCGAATGGAGACAGGACTTTGATCTCTCACATCACATCCTGCAGCATGCAGGTGTCCAGCATCCCCGGGCAGATTTCCCACCTCACATCCCATCCTTATGGAAAGAATCCAGCAATGCTAGTACTTCGTGCTTCGCTGCTTCCCACACTCCGAGAGATCGCTGTCACCAGGTTAAGTCTTACCACGCTTCTGTGAAGTAGTTCAGTGTTAGGACAAAATCATGTCACAGTTTTAAAGGAGTGGAGTCTGGCAGGTGACCTCCTCCGGGACAGAACACGAGCACGTTGGCCGCCGGCTCGAGCGCACACGGAACCGGGCGCAAAGCCCTGCTCCCCTCATGCTCAGCCCTACGCCTTCACCATAAGCCCATCACCTCATCTCCCTAAAACTAACTTTTGCCCCATGTGAAGTTTTCACAAGGTTCTCACTCCAAGATTATTATTAAAGGTGAAAATGGATAGGCTTGTTTTCAGAAAAAAGCAAATCCCAGATTAACCCCTCACTTTTGATTCAGATCTTTAAAAACAGTATTTTCTGGATTACTGTACCAATCTAACTGTTTCTGTCATCAAAGCATTCTTCATATGAAAGTACTACAGGAAATAGAGTGTAAAAAAAATTCTGCAATGCATATACTAAACAAGGTTCCAAATCAACAGTTTTGTTAATAAAATTATTTGCCTAAGTACAGTAACTGCAGAAAATCTTAACTATTTGAATTAAGAATTGAGGAAGAGACGTCTTCATTTTCTAACCAGGCCAATTAACGGGATACAGACTGTCCACAGCACTAAAATTCACTTTGGAAAAGTTCCTGATCTTGACAGATTTCCAGTATTTTCCCCCGAGGCTCCAACTTTGAGCCAGAACAGCCACCGTGCAACATGGGTATGAACGCATGCACGGAAGGAAAATGCGGTACAGGCACGAGTGGCGCTCCCTCAGTCTGCGCAGACGACAGCGGCCTGCAGCCTGCTCACCGGACACATCAACCGGGAAATTCTTCGTTAGCATTAAGTAGGGCATCTCCTCCAGGTGTGCTCGCTTCGGTCAGGAAAGAAGCACTGAAGTGGCCAGCACTAATAATTTGGACAAATCAGAATAGTTTTAATGAAAACCCATTTTCAGTTATTACTGAAAATGCACAGATCAATAAAAGGGATGATTTATTCATGCCGGAGGGTGCTGAAAGAGCGCTCGGTTCAGCTCAGATCTCTCTGGATCACCGCACACATTTGGCTTCAGTGAGGGTTAACTTCTTACAGCAAAAAGCTGCTGCAAGAATCCTACAATTGGCTAATTTTGTTCTCACATGCTGACTACCAAGCTACTCTCCCATTTTCACATGCAAGGAGCCTTTGACAGGCAGGAACGTAACTCTACCTAGAACCTTAAGGAAAAGGTAAGAAGGCGGCAACAAACTGATGGGATAACACATCCTGTGTCCTGGCTTAAACCATTTCGCATTAGAGCTGCGAGCTCCTTAGGACCTTCTCTTAAAAAAATCCATCTACCTAGTCTGGAGCTGGGCAACTGTTCCTCCTGGGTTCAGACCGTCCCAACAGCTTTAGAGGAAAAGGGACAAGATCTACAGGCCCCAGCTGACCAGTTTCTTCTGGCTGCAAAGGGAACATGTTTTTTCATGCTGTTTTCCCAGGGGCAGGTAGGCACAGATGAGCCCCCGTATGAGAAAAACTAAACTCCGTACGTAGCTGGAGATACAAACCCCAAACCCCGCGCATCTGTTCACACGCTGATAGGGCTTTCTAGGCCACGTTCTCAAATCCATATTGATTTCAACCGCTGCAGCTAAGCACCACTATGATACTATTCTGTCCTGATACCCTGGGGAAGTCTCGGTTCTTGGAGCCCTGTGCTGAACTCTGAAAAGTACAATGTGTTGTGTAAAGAGCTAAAAATACCCCAGCTTTACCTAGGATCACTTGTAACTGAACCATCTAGCCTTCTAAGCGTCAGCATTTGATTCCCTAATTTTCAGGATCTGACAGCTGCAGCTAGGAGCCTGCCAGCTTTGCCCCATGCTCATTGTACTTTGTTTGAAGTACTTGAAAAGGTTTCATAATCCCCCAAGCAGACAATTTATTCCTACTTTTTTGTGTTTGATGTAAATGAATTGGTTGTTCCCTGCTGTTTCTGCTGTATAACCCCCCGAACCACGTGGAATGCCGTGCCTACAGAAGAAAGCGAAACACTGGCACCGAAAAACATAAGCCAGGATTGACCTTTTGGCGAGTGAAGAGCTAAGACCACCTCAGCGGAAGATCCAGATACCGGTATGGGAGCACAGGCTGGGACAGCACTGATTCTTCGACTGCCAAGGCTTGTGAGTGCCGTGACATAAGAGGATACAGCAAAGAGAGACAAAGAGAAGCTACAGAAGAAAGCGAAACACTGGCACCGAAAAACATAAGCCAGGATTGACCTTTTGGCGAGTGAAGAGCTAAGACCACCTCAGCGGAAGATCCAGATACCGGTATGGGAGCACAGGCTGGGACAGCACTGATTCTTCGACTGCCAAGGCTTGTGAGTGCCGTGACATAAGAGGATACAGCAAAGAGAGACAAAGAGAAGATGACAAATCCTGGGTATCAGAGAAAAACAAGCCTTTGCTTTAACGGTAGCATTTAGATGGGTTAAACAAGGCAGGATTGAAGTCCATTTTAACTTCAGACAGCAAAGCTCTTTGTTAAACCCCCTCTCTTCCTCCCTGCTGAAAACGGAGGAACCAAATGTAAACTGTGTGCAGCTGCGAGAAGGAAGCTCCTGGTTGTCAGAGCAAAGGTTGAAGGTGCCACCTCCTTCTGTCCCCACTGAAGGTCTGTATCGCAGCGGTGACTCACCACTGCATTAATCACCATTTCCTTCGCTGTTGGCTCACAGCTGGAGCAGCAGAGCACTAAACCAGAAAATACTCATTTAAAAGCACGGCATATCAGAAACAGACCTACAGCCAGAGACCGTCTGGTGAGTGACGAACCGAGACACGTAGTGAGGAGAGGGAACCTGCTCCCTTCACTTCTGCTCCATCACCTCTTCCCTGCCAACGTCTGTCTCACTTATCAGCACTGTATGCTCACAGCTGGCACGACGAAGCAGGACCCGCCTGTAACACGTGTTTGCAATGGACTTCAAGCAGATGCGAAAACTCTTGTACCAAGGTCCTGTGCAGCATTTCTGGGAGCAGACATTTACAAGAGGATGAAACATTACCATCTCCATTTTCCAGCTGAAGAAACTACGGCCTTAGAAAAAACAGCTGGCAAAATCATCGAGAATTCAAATCCTTCCCCAGTTATTAGCCATAGGAAACACTCTTTACTGCTCTACACCAGCGCCCGTGAGTACCACAGGGTAAGTAACGAAGCAATAAAGATCAGGACACAGACTGTACAGTGCTGGCTCCTTGGGCCAGCATGCAGAAAGCATTTTACAAACCAGAAATGCTTCTTACAAAAAGACAAACGCTTCTTATTTTAAGCTGATGGTTTTGTCCAAAGTGCTCAGTCATTCATTCTTGATTCCTCGCAACGAAGAGTTGACAAGATGTAAAAAGTCAAAAGCAGAACATAAGGTAACAAAAGGCATACAGGTTATGTTCCAACGGGTCTTGTCTTTTCTGTCTTGAGCCTCTTTTTTGTGTAAGATTAATTCAATTAACATGAATTTTTCATAATTAAGCCTCTTCGGTGGTTCTGTAACCACGTTTACCTCCTACCCTGCTCTCCTTGAATTACACTACAGGTCAGAGTACACTGTCCCCCTCAACAACGGGCACAACAGGAATTATTTCTTACCTTGCAGTGCATTTACAGACGATGTAAAACATATGTTGCTGTCTTGGTAATGCGTTCTTGTTGATTAATTAAACACTTTTTCCCCTCACATGTCACGAAACACAGATTGTCTGCTTTTTGGGTTTATTTTTACTTAAAGCATAGCAACATGCCCACTGGGGATGAAAAAGCTGGTAGCGGAGAGAAATCTAACGCAGCGGTCTTACGATGATCGCTACCTATGGAACGCATGTGGCGTGGTATAGGAAGAGAACCCAATATCTTAATTCTTCAAAGCTTTTGCTTCTACCTGTAGTTTTCATCTTGACTTACAGAAGAGGGGAGAAAGGCAAAGAGGCGCGCAGATTCCATACTACACAGGAAGCCCTTACGCCTGGGTGTACACAACTCCACGCTCGATAAGCTTTTTAAAACCCCTTTAAAAGAAAACGGACTTCTGTGGAGCGGGCATGTCCTATGGGATCAGGAAGGGAGTTCCTGCTACTAAGGGCGTTCCCTGCATTGAGTAGTATGTAAAAAAAGCACAGAAACAGGCAAAGCGAAGAGCGTTGCTCTTGATAAATGACAGCAGCGCAAATTAACACAATGCCAAGGAAATCAAAAGATCTATGAAGTCAGGGAATGATGCAGTTAACGACTCTGGTTTAGGGGTTCTGCCCGTAAGTACACTTAGCAGGCCTTTTCCAAGCTGAGAAAAATCATTGTCTTAAGAAAAGTCAATTTGTTTTGCTGACAAACCACTACCCAGCTGCAGCAGCATTGTTCAAACTGCTTTGGTAAGTGCAGCTTCACATGTGCCTCTCCCTGCGCTCCCTTCAGCAGGGTCTGGGAACATCTTAATTAGAAACTTGTGGGTAATAAATCATAGAATCATGGAATGGTTTGGGTGGGAAGGGACCTTACAGCCTACCCAGTCCCATCCCCTGCCATGGACAGGGACACCTTCCACTAGACCAGGTTGCTCCAAGCCTCATCCAGCCTGGCCTTGGATGCTTCCAGGGATGGGGCATCCACAGCTTCTCTGGGCAACCTGTCCCAGTGACCCCCTCACCCTCTCCGGGAAGGATTTCTTCCTGATGTCCAATCTAAATACTACAGACTAACTGCATTTCTGATAATTGCTGGTATTATGCTTTATGATCATCTCGAGAATGGATAGTAACACAGATATTTATTATACAGATAATAAACTTAATCTACATGACTTCTCACTCAAACTCCTGATCCCCTCACTAGCCTTGTTGACTTTTATAACTAGCTATTTACCATCATACCGCTGCGATGACACTGACGTTGTTTTGACTGCGAGGCTGGGGCATTCAGAAAACGCAGTGTTAAGTCCTCATATACCCTTCAATCTGTTCAGTACAACATGAGTAATTGAAATCAATAACTTGGAGAGCTACAAATCAAGCACTGCAGCAGCATAAATATTGGAAAGCACCGGACAGCACTGTACTATCTGCCCACTGAAGAAAAAAAAAAAAAGTCTTCAAATACATTAATTTTGGTATTTGGTGACAACAAATGTGCATGAAAAAAGAGGCAAATCTGTTGCAATGCTGAGGCCATGTATTTTGACAATGTACTATAAAAAGGGATAAGATCCTGCAGAAGCAGTTACTGCAACATAAAGTTAAAAGGAAATTGTGAGAAAACAAGAACTGATCTCTCTCTTACAAACTTCCTCTCCCTTCTATCCCCTGTTGTATTGCATACCTCATCCCCTCGCAGCATTTCAGAGCCTTCTAACTCTTGGGCCTGGCTGGTCTTCTGCAGCATCTGCCTTTCAGCACTGGACATCTCTTCCTTAGCAGCCTGAAGTTCTTCTGCCTTGGCTTCTTTTTTCCGGGAAATTATAGATGCCTGCACGATCGTTAAAAACGCATATGGACAAGTGATGTAAAAACTGCCTTGGTTAATCATTAGTAAAATGAAATCTGTTACGTTTCGGGCACTGCACCACTGAAACCACATTTTAACTGTCCGAAACTGATTTTCATTAGGAAACGTGGCAGGTCTCTGCAAAGACAAACCCATCGATTAGGCATTAGATACAGTGGTTAAACCACAACTCAACCAAAGCTGTTTGCAGACTCCCAACTTTCTGCAGTTCGGCTGAGATTTGGAGCAGACCCTTTTTTCCCCCAGATTCATGCTGATAATATTTTACATTTCTACACCTCATTTTTTCATTTTTCATTGAAGAAAAAGGTAGGCATTTTAGCTGCTCCATTTCCTTCCACTTAGTGCCTTTTGTGCCTATGTAAGATACACCAACATGGCTTAGCTGGAAAGTTATCCAAAATCTCACAAATGTCGTAATACAGATTTTTATAACTCCAACCTACTCCAACCTACAGAAATATGTTATACTAACAGCAGAACCCAGCCACTGAATCTTGGCAAATAGCTAGAAGATGATGAATAAAGCACTACAGTACAGAAATAGTGTAGATTACTGAGTCTAGAAGATAAAGCATTTAAAAAATATTTTATACAAGGCAGAATATGTAATGGTGCCTAACTAACATTTGACCAGAAGCTGACAGATTTGGGAACATAAATAAACATGAGTTCAGGAGCAAAAGGCATTTTTATCTTGTCCAAATACACTATTTAAAAATATTTTAAACCAGGACATTTAGATGCATGCACATGAATTTGGAGGGACAATTGGTTTCTTCATACGAAAGGGAAAACTTCAGAAAAAAAGGTGAAACAAAACACACAGCAGCTTTCTCACACGAGCTTAGAAGGACCAGCTTTATTTCTAAAAATACATCTACGAATTCTGCTGGGGTAGTATTGGGCCCTTTGCTTCGTGAGATGCCTGCAGTGCCAAACCATGGTGCAGTATATACGATTACTTGATGAAACAGAAGCCAGTCCCCAGCAGAACAAAGCAAAGAGCACCACATGCTTTCACCTCACAGCAGCAACCTGAACTGGAGCGGCTCCTCCACTGAACACAATCGTACCACAAGCCACTTGGTCTCTGGCACCAGCGTCTTACGCAGCCGGCTTTCCTTCAGGGAAGAGCAGCATCCCTTACGAAACACAGTGAGGCGTTGCATACCGCCTAGGTGATGGAACTGCAGCACGCATTTTAGCACAACTTTTGTCCTCCCACTGATCAGTTTTATTTAAGCCTTTTTATTTTTTAAACCGTCACCATACGCATCATGATGAAAATCCTCAATAAAATTAGCAGTGGTACAGGTTGCCTGGAAAAGAAAGCACTTGCATTTCTGTGTAAGCTCTGAAAATCTGAGAGTTCATAAATCCTTTTTATAACTTGTGAATTTGTTAAGGCCAGACTAGACCAGACAGCCTGTTTTATAGAAAGACTATTTTATAGTCTCAGGATGGAAAAAAAAATAAAATCAAAGAATATCTTCTTAATAGATGTAACGGGAAAACCAGCATGTGCTCCAACACAAGTGAGGGATGTAAGTGAAAGCAAGCCTTGCATGCAGGTCTGGCTGCAGCAGCCAGCCTACACGCTGCCTTTCAAGAATCCGTCCACAGCTGGAGCTTCACTAAAATAGCTCCTCCAAAATGCTCCTTCCAGAATTACTGTGATGCAGCTGAAGGGCAACACCCAACAGCTTAAGGACAGCAGTCAATACGAACCCAAAGTGATTGTCTGACTTGCTCCTAAATATACACGTTTGACCACTCTTTATTCTCCTTTTCCCTCCGTTATTATGTATTTCTACTGATTTATGCTAGAGACATTAAAGAAAAAAATCAGTATGGAGAACAACCAGTGCCTAAAATAGCTTTACTGCTTCTGCTTAAAAAAATACTATGTTCCTTCTTACCTGTTGGCGATACATGGAAAATTTACTATCAATCGGCTCGTACTTCATCATTCGTTTCTCAATAAGCTGATTCATTTGTGCATTTACTTCATTTATCTGTTAAGACAGAGTAGAAAACTAAGGAAATGGAGCTTTATGTCTTTGTCTTCTCCAAGATTTAAATGCTTTGCAAACCCGCTTTACAATCCAGCTAGTTCCATTTTTAAAACAGAGAAACAAACCCAAAAAACTCAGTGAGTCATTATGCTGGCCAGGAAGAGGCTGTGTTTTTGGATTTCCAGTTCTGTGCTTTCATAAGGCAGAGGCATGATGTCGGCCGTGAAAGCGGAGTAAACCGGTGTACGTGGAGAGAAAATGCGTGTGAATTGGTACAGACAGAAAAGACTGATGTGGTCACACACTGTGCAAACACCTAATTTTATCAACATGAACTAAAACTCCTTTTCACTCAGCCATTTATCACAAGTTTAAAGGGGAACAAAGAACGACTAAGTGATATCAAATTTCATCAACACTTTGAAGAGTCACAGCCCATCGCATTCCAGCTCTCTGGTACCTTCTTTCTACTGCCACAAAAACGCACCATCATCTCAAATTGCTGATCTTCATTCTAGCTGAAGCTTTACAGCCTGCTGCATCTGGGGACTCTGACAGCTACACCAGTGAACTGATTCCAGCTTCTCCAGTCCTGACTTAACGCTACACTGGGACACTCAGCAGCCATGGAAACCACAGCCCTAGCAACCTTCCTTGAATTCTCTGCTAACCAGATGAGTGCTGATAAGCAAGCAGCATAAATACGTGCTGAAATCCAATGAAGCCAAAACGGAACGCAGGTGCCGTGCTGGGCACTACCCGGACGTTTCTGCGAGCAATATCCCTGTACTCTCAAAGCAAAGTGTTTCAAATAAAGTGCTCAACAGGACTAAAACCACTCCAAGGCCTGGTAAAGCCTCTCCTGTAAATTCTGTCCCTTTACAAAAGCTATTAGTGGCAGAACAGGCCTGAATTTGAAGCTGGCATAAGAATTCCCTTCTGTCTGTGACTTGTAGGTTTATATATTATGAAACGCATGACAGTGGCATGCTCAGTGCAGTTCAGCTCCTTTTTAAGGCACTGAGATAATAGAAGGCTGACCTAAAACCAAAACCAAACTGCTGCCCGTGGCCATGTTATGACAACAGCCAAGTACATTACATGGTTTTATTAACTATTCTGAAGAACATACTTCCAAAATACAACAAATTAAAAGGTTACCTCATGTAGAAAGAGAAAAAAACCCCACCTTGAAGTTTTTTTAAGTACTGCCAGAACCCCAGCAATACTCTTGAAGCCCTGTTTTGCACCTTTCTTTCCCGACTCCACCTCACAGAACTGCAATCACAAATATTGCTTCAGTTACAATAAATAAACCAGGAAAGCAAAGCTAAATCACTGACCTAGTTTAGTATTTCAGACCTAATCAACAGTTTAATGCTGCTGCCATTCTTAAAAGTGCAGTGATCAGGATCCAACATGGCACTGGGCTGTCACTGATTTTACTTTCACAAGAAGCAGCCCTAACCTGAAAACAGAACGCATCCTTGAGGATGCTGGGCTGCGGATTCTTGTCTGATGCCAGCAACCGGAGGGCATTGCTTTACCACGGTACTTCGGCACGTGCTTCGTGTGAATGCACCGGCTACGACCATGGCAA